CACACACACACACACACACACACACACACACGGACACACAATATGAACAGGATTGTGCGAAAACTAAAAATTTCCCGAACTTCGACAAGGTTGGGAAGTGGGTGCCACTTACACTGGTTTTCGACAACAACGTCTTCACATTCGGCCCCCACCTCCCAACCTCAACGTCATGGGTGTAAGTAATGCGCTACGGTAATACTAGAGAGAGAGAGAGAGAGGGAGAGAGATAGGTGGATTTCCGCACGCACACACACGCACACACACACACACACACACACACACACACACACACACACACACACACACACACACACACACACACACACACACACACACACACACACACATACACGGACACACAATATGAACAGGATTGTGCGAAAACTAAAAATTTCCCGAACTTCGACAAGGTTGGGAAGTGGGTGCCACTTACGCTGGTTTTCGACAACAACGTCTTCACATTCGGCCCCCACCTCCCAACCTCAACGTCATGGGTGTAAGTAATGCGCTACAGTAATACCAGAGAGAGAGAATCGCACACGAAAGCCACAGAAAGCGAAACAGTCTGAAGGTAACAAACAACAACGAGAGTCGGTCCCCACCTCGCCGGCCTCCGTGAAGAATCGCACACGACACAACCGATCCCCGCCACGGGCGCTAAGGAAAACGTCATGTGCAAAAGAGGTGGAAGATCAACCTCGGCGCAACATCGAAAATCCGAAGAGGAGGAGAATCATTGAGGGGGTGGGAGAGGAGAAGGAGGCAATTGATCTGAGGGGTTCCGATGGTGTCGAGGCAGGCGACACCGGAAAACGAGACGTGTCACTGGATGCAGTCCATAAGACACAACAGTCCCACTCGCACGATAATATCGAGGGCAGCGGTGGACGTAGCGAGGGCACATGTAACGAAGGAGAATCGTACGAAGAAGATGCGAGCAACGAAGAGGAGAACAGCGACAGTGGGTCCCGCAACAACGAGGATGGCGATGACGACGATGAAGAGGAGGAAGACCGATCCCGGAGCAGCGTCACGGAAGAAAGATGTAGCGAAGACAATACACAAAACACGTCTCGAAGAACGCATGGAGGAACAAGTGACGGACGCAGCGAGGAACATAATGCGGACAAGCAGTTAGTCCTGAAGGAGAAGGCAAACGAAGGACGTAAGTACATAACGGTCGAGGAAAGGGGAAAAAAAAACAAGAAAAAAAAAACCTGAAGACAAATAGTCACTCGACATGTTGTTTCGCTCAAACTGTTGTCGTTGCGTGGATGTAGTGCAAAAAGGTAAAGAACTGTATGCGTTGTAGGATAAGAAAATCTGAGATACGCTGCAAATAACTAACTACAATTGCTGTTGTTTCTCGTGTGAAGCCATTGTGTGAATGGGGTGCATAACAACTTCAAACTTGTGGGTATTCGCGCGCGTTGTTGCAGGCAGACACATATTACAAGGAGGGAGACAGCGCAAGGACGACACGAAAGTGGCCAAGCAATCGGGGGTTGCCACAGGAGAGGAAAGCGAATTATTTGGGAAAAAGCAAAAAGACAGACTGTTGAGGTCCATCGCGAAAACTTTTGTGCACTCAACAGCGAAGGACGCAACTTTTTACTCTTCAGAGGACGGCTTCTTCAATGCGGTGCAGTTGGCTGCTACCCTTTTGGGAGAAGATGTAAGAGCAGGATGGGGGAAGCATGTAGAGAAGAAGGGTTTGCAGAATGTGCTCATAGAGTGCAACCGAATGATGACAACGGTCCGCGGAGAGTTGTCTTGGCACTTGAGACACTGGTTCTGGGCAGAGAGAGGTGTCCCCCTCGTACGCGGCGCACAGACGGATCACAATAACACCATGCGCAACGAGCCGCGTTGCCAGATGAGCAAAGACAAAACGTGGAGGAGGAAGGACGACGAGCCATGGGGAGCGTCACATTTCAAGAGGGTACTCACAAAAGTGTTCCAAATAAGAAAAGACGGTGAGAAGTTGGGCGTGACGTTGCAGCAACTAGCGTTTACCGAACTTGTGATCCGCACAGAAATCGAGCAGACGAAAAAGTCAAGCAAGGCGTCAGATCAGTTGCTGCAAATGGTCAGTATAAAGAATGACATAGTGAACACAGCCCGGAGCCGGGACACAGTTATGAGTTTCTGCATTTTCAAGCTCGACACCGATACCCACGTGGCAGATGTGGTGACACGGTACTACAGAGCAGGGAACACAAGGAGAGACATGCGTGCGGTTGACAACAACAGAGACAACGCACAGGACTTTGAATTCGAAGTGTTGGTGTCACACACACAATCACGAGCTTCGTGCTGAGGACCTTGGAAACCTGTCCCGGACTAGCACTTCTGTTCTTTAGACAGATGACGCATGGTGAAAGACGTGGTGGTACTGCGTGTTTGCAACTCCTACCACAGGAAGACGCCGAGAGAGAGAGAGAGAGAGAGAGAGAGAGAGAGAGAGAGAGAGAGAGAGAGAGAGAGAGAGAGAGAGAGAGAGAGAGAGAGAGAGAGAGA